CACACACACACACACACACACACACACACACACACAAAAGAAAAGCTATACCTAAGGCAGTAAAATAACAAGTGTATTACTTGAAGGTTTAAAAAAATGCCCTGATGTTAGCATATAGATGTTCTTACTGTGTAATGAAACTGCTCAGTAAATCAATACCAGCCCTGGGCTCGGTCAACCTGAAAGAGTATTAATGCACTTAACAGGTTGAAACGACAGCCTCGGGCCACAGCTAATATTTACTTCAAAATCAATTTATAGATCACAGCAATTGGAAAAAATCACTGCTTTGTTCTCAACTCTAGAGCAACACATCTAATAGAACTTTCTATGACGATGGAAATGTTCTGTATCTGCACCCTCCAATAGAGCAGCCACTAGCCACATGTTGCAATTGACACTTGGAATGTGGCTAGCTCAGGTGAGGAAGTGAAATTTTAATATTATTTAATTTTAATTGACAAATAGCTACAAACATCTAATGGCTACTGTATTGGATAATATAGCTTTACAGCAATGATAAAACAAGAAATAATAATATTCAGGCTATTTCTTTAGCCTGTAATCCTCATTCAAATAAAAAATGAATTAATTTACAAGGGAAAAGAGTAATTACACAAACTTGCCCTCAATATTAATTTCATCTTACAGTTTTTTACAAGGGAAGAACCATACCTTTAAAATTAATCTATTAATCAAATAAACTCGACAGGAGTGAGGAATGTGTCCATTTTCCCTTTAGTATCCAAACAGCTAGAATAGTGTGGCAATTCAGTAACTTTTGCTGAAAGAATGAATACTCTCTTGCTTCTTAGTTGCCACCCAAGCCATCACATATGAATGGAATATTCTGAACATTTACTAGGTACGAGGTTCTGTTCCAAGAACTATAGCAATGTCATAAATTAAACTACCACCATTAAATTATGAAACAGATATTTTGTGTGTGTGTTAAACTCTAAAGCCAGTGTTTCTCCAAATATTGTCCCTAGACCACCTCTACCAGAATTACCTGGAGAGCCTCTTGAGCCATACAGAGCTACTGAACTCCCAAGTAATTCTTGTGCCCAATAACGTTTCAAAACCATTGCACTACACCACATTGCCCCTCCAGTGTTACCCCAGAGTCATATGAACAACCTATCTTTGAAAAGCTGCATGGAAATCAAATTTTTGAAAACTGAAACACCTTAATATAGCAGAAAGTCTGAGTCCTATTGTTAATTATTTTCTGAAGTTATGATTATGTTTATAAAATGAATTACATATTATCCGTAAGGATAAAATACGTATCACATTTATGGAAAACAGGTACTATTCCTTCTTTCTTTTGAACTGCACCTTACAGGAAAAAAAAAAACCTGGTTTAATAGGAAAAACATGATGCTTAAAGTCCAAAGTCCGGGGTTTAATTTCCAACACTGTCACTCGCTGGCTGTGAAGTGGAAAAGTCAATCAGGCCAATTTAGTTTTCTCAAGTGTAAAATAAGGTAATACCTCCTCACAACTCCATCACGAGGACTGAATGCAAAACTTATATGAATGCATTTGCCACCCGAAAACCACTATATTTTTAAGAGATTATTTAGTTTCACCCACTCTGCTAAATACCAATAAAATCAATTACAGAGCCCTCTAAAAAAAACTTTTTTGTAATTACTTACATTTATTTGGATTGATTACAACACAATACATTTCTGTTTATTGTATTTATGTTTTGTGTTCCATCTTAGCACTGGACTGAATGTACCATGTTTGGTCTATAACAAATACCACTGCTATGCACTTAACTCTACAAATATTTATTTTTTGCCCTAATTGCAGAATGCACTATGTCACTTTTTTCCTCCCCAAAACCCCAGTACATAGTTGTATATCCTAGTTGTAGGTCCTTCTGGTTCCTCTATGGGGTACGCTGCCTCAGCACGGCTTGATGAGCGGTACGTAGGTCCGTGCCCAGAATCTGACCCAGAGAACCCTGGGCCACCGAAGTGGAACATTCGAACTTAACCGCTACGCCAAGGGGCCGGCCCCACCATGTCACTTATAACCAGAATTAAAAGGCCTTAAAAATACTTTGTCTACATGACTTTTCCCTTTAAATACAGTTGGACCTGAATACTCCAAACACAAAAATTTAAATAAAATTATAAAACTGTAGGTTTATTACATAATTTGTGGTTGTACCTTTTGTGAACTGATGATATAATTACTAGAAAATACCTGAATAATCTGCAACCATTCTAAAAAAAAGGCACATTCTAAAAGAAATAAACTAACTCAACGTGCTAAGTTTATTTATTTTAGCAATGCAATTATTACTCATGCCACATATGGACAGCATATTAAATAGAGAAATACATTTGTGAAATTGCATCATAATTAAGTTTTTTACAAGTTATATAACTTATAAAGGAGTAGCACAGACTTTAATTGTGCAAACAGCTGAAAAGAACAGATTTAGCAAATTATTTGTTGATTAGCTATCTTAGATGCAGGAGTATCTAAGATTTTGGACATTTGAACATTAACCCATTTTATGTTACAGTAGAGTATTTGATTTGGTATTTGCCCCTGTGTTCAAGTTCCATCTTAAAAAGTAGTTAAAGCTAGCTAAAATCAAGTTTATACCTTGTTAAATAATTCCAAGGAGGTATTATATACCTAAAATTGTGGCTAGAGATGTTTATATACATTCCGGTAACTAAAATCTCACAACATTATAATCCTTGGATTCAATGCTTTCTTAGGATTTCTATACATACATAATCAAATAACAACATCTGATTCCATGAGATTTTATGACTATTATAATATGGTTTGTTTCCAAGGGGGTAAGTAGACTGTGAGCAACAAAATGTTGTGATTAAATTCTCACCAGGCATAGAATTTTCTGTGTAAGTCCATTTTGGAGGATTTGTCTTGGATAACAATCTTGAGAATCTGAATAATTAACTTTCCAAAATAATTTAAAACCCATCCAAAAAACAAACAAAGGGGAGGGAGAGAAATCAAAAAAGAAGAGAAAACACTTGTCACCTCATTCTATAGGCTGGCATTATCCTGACACCAAAGCCAGACAAAAGACATCATCAGAAAAGAAAACTATAGACCAATATCCTTGGGGCCGGCCCCATGGCTTAGCGGTTAAGTGCGCACGCTCCGCTACTGGCGGCCTGGGTTCGGATCCCAGGTGTGCACCGGCGCATCGCTTCCCTGGCCATGCTGTGGCCGTGTCCCACATACAGCAACTAGAAGGACGTGCAACTATGACATACAACTATCTACTGGGGCTTTCAGGAAAAAAAAAAAAGGAGGAGAATTGGCAATAGATGTTAGCTCAGAGCCAGTCTTCCTCAGCAAAAAGAGGAGGATTAGCATGGATGTTAGCTCAGGGCTGATCTTCCTCACAAAAAAAAAAAAAAAGACCAATATCCCTTAATAAATATAGACACAAAAATTCTCAACAAAATACTACCAAACTGAATCCAACAGTATATTAAAAGGATTACACACTATGACCAAGTGGGATTCATCCCAGGCAAGAGTGGTTCAACATACAAAAAATCAATGTAATATATTATTAATATGAAGGGAAAACATATAATCATCTCACCTGACACAGAAAAACCATTTGACAAAATCCACTATCCTTTCATGTTAAAAATACTCGGAAAACTAGGAATACAAGAGAGCTTCTCAACATCAAGAGATTTGATGAAAAACCTAACATCATACTCAATGGTCAAAGCCTGAGAGCTTTCCCCCTAAGGTCAGGAACAAGACAAGTACACCCATGTTCACCACTGCTATTCAACATTGTATCGGAAATTCTAGCCAGGGCAATTAGATAAGAAAATGAAGGCATCCAAGGTATCCAATCTGGAAAAGAAGAAGTAAAACTATACGCGCAGAAGACATGATCCTATATATAAAAAAATCCCAAAAGTGCTCCCACCAAAAAAAAAAAAAATAACACCACTAGAGCTAATAAATTCAGCAAAGTTCAGGGTACAAGATGAATATGCAAAGATTAGTATGGATTCCATACACCAGGAAGGGAAAATTCAAAAGGAAATTAAGAAAACAATTCCATTTATAATAGCATCCAAAATAAAACATCTAGGAATAAA